CATTCAAGCCTGCAACTCCTACTTCAGCCATTCAAGCCTGCAACTCCTACTTCAGAATAGTCCAGTTGGTTCAATGTTCAAAAAAAGTGATATCATAGCCTTAAACATAACCATCTGGACCCAGAAAAAATCCCAATTCTTCCAGATTTTTCCTCTTAAAGGAAAAGGATGCTTTGAAAATATATATATGAAAGTTTTATTTTTACTTTTAGGTATTTAAAAAGATGAGTTCATTTACCGTCAGCTAGACTATTCACACATCTAAATGGGCTTTGTTTTCTAAGAATTTCCTCACCATAATTTTATCTGTGTTAGATATTGACCCACGGTCCTCTCAAGGCAATGTATGTCCTTCACCTTTGTCCTCTAACAGTGTCCTTCCATTCTGACTTTGCATACTTTATGATCTTCAAACTAGATAGTGACTCTGAGCATCCACAAATGGATTGAGTGATGGGAGAAAAGTTAACCTGTGGGATTAGGATAATTTTTGCTTGAATTAATAAATCCAAGGCCTCTTTTTCAGTAAAAAAAAAAAAAGGTGAAAAATGTACGTACTTCTTCACTTTTGCTTCCATATCCTGCCCTGCGTGGTTTGCGCAGCTAGAGAGAAGGAAGAAATAGATGTATGACTGAGTTTCACAAGCAGGGAATTAAAAAAAATGAAATGCAATAAAGTGTCTGGTTCTGAAATACTCACCGGACCAGCATAAGATAAGCCTACAAGGCATAGATATAGGAGGATTAACTTCATCCTTCAACTTCTCCACTAAGTAGAGATAAACACAACAAACAGTCCATTACACACTTATTTTAGCACAGTGGTTTTTACAGCTCAAATCAGGAAAGAGTATCTCTCATGTTATCATGAGAGATGTCAATGGGCTTGAAATGATTACTGGAAAAAAAATGTTAATTCTTCTCACCATTGCAAAGCAACCACAGTTGACTTAGTGAAATAGGGAACCATGCCTTTAAATAAGGTATGTATTGATTGTGAAAAACTAAACTTACCACAGTAAGAAAACCCCAAAGTTTCCTCTGATGTAATTTCTGCCAACACAATGCTTGAACTATAACTAACAGACAAAGGTGTTAACTTGGAGAGTATCCTATACCATCTCAAGCTGTTTCTTAGATCAACTTCAAAACTGTTGAGGTAATTCCCCGTTAGGAGAATGAGTGCATACAGGGAGACGTATTTGAGAGTAGTGTTTGAATAATACACATACAGCACACAAATACACTGTACAGTAAATGTAGGTTTTTACTTCCAGAAACATTAAGCAAAGTGCAAACAAGCAATCCAAAATCATTCACAGGTAAATCAGTCAGTTTTTCAATCCAGGGATAATCCAAATATCAAAGTCCAGTGTCAAAAAACAGTTCAGTAACAGACTTACATTAAATGCATTTTCTTAAAGATATAGTTTTAATATGTCTATCCTGGTTTATATATTTCTAACCCAAATACCTGTTAGGTGACTTATATTCCTAACAAAAACCTTCAAATTGTTGATTGTTCAGTAGTCTCAGAGCCTTTCCTTTGCTTTCTAGATGTTTGCACGCATGGATGTGTTCATCCCCATCAGCAGTGGGATCCTTCCTGTTCCACTACTAGTTCAGTGATTGCTTGCGCATGCATGCGCACGTAATGCACACATTCCTAACGCAGGCGCGCAGCTTTCCACACACCGGCTGAGGCCTGCAGCGCCAATCAGCTGAGAGGTGGGTGGGAGGGCTGTTCCTGCGCTTTTCTCTTCTTTTTCCCCTCAGGTGATCTCTGAGACTTTCTTTCCTCCTCTCAGCTGATCGCTGGAGGCTTTTTTTACTATCAGTTCAGCCGAACCAGGCCGAACTGGTAGCATACCACCACTGATCCCCATCCCCTTTCCATATTTATCACTTTGACACCAAAACAGACATTTCTTTTTTTCTCTCTCTCTTTCCCCCTGTGTTCCTGTGATATAACAATGTCAAAGATATAGGGCCCAGGTTGTTCTTTTCTTCCTATTTTCATGGTAGGTTAAAAGAAACTTTGTAGCAAGGAAGAACTGATATTTCATTTCTATAGAAGCAAAGCGCAGTGTTCCCAGAATGCACAAAAGTCTTCTCTTGAATACTTTTACAGGAAGAGAAAGGAAACTATACAGCGCTATGGACAGGGGTGTCGAGGAAGCAAAAAAGCATACATCATCCAGACTGGATAGAAACAAAAAAAGTAGGAGATGTAAGGATTAAATGGAGAATGAGTGTCTATGGCTGTGGCTAGTTCATTAATTTAACAGACATTATTATATCAACCACAAAATTATCTATTTTTAGAAAAGAAAAAAGATAAAGAAAAGAAAAATCAACTGCTGACCAATAGCTGTCCAAAGGCAACAATCAGTCCCTGGAGGAAATGAAACAAGACACTGAAGCCAATCAGATTGGGGGATAATATCAGAATGAAAGAGTTGGAAATCATCCACTCTAAAGGGCTTAAGGAGAGCTTATTGGTGTAGTATTTAAGGCACAAGGCTGGAAACAGGGAGACTTGATTACCGCCATAGCCACAAAGGCAGCTGGGTGACCTGGGGTTAGTCCCCCTCAGTCATAAAAAGAAGACAAGGCAAATGCAAACCCTTCATGAGTCTTGCCAAGAGAACTGCAGGGACCAGTGCAGGCAGTCGCCAGATGTCAACACTGACTCAAAGAGACAAAAGAAGAGGCTCAGGTAAGAAAGCAGCAAATCTGAATCAAATCTGGAAAACACAGCTGGAGTATGAATTTGAAATTGTCTCAAAGTGAGAGGACATCCATGTATTCATTCCTGCATTCAGGAAGCAGAGAGTGCCCCATAGTGGCAATGGGTCAAATAGAAAGTATGGATGTGCTATTGCTTCAAAGTGTTTTATCTTCTATGTAAAGATTTAATCAGGTAGCTTTTTAAAAACAATGCCAGGGAAAGCACAAAGATTATGGCTTCTTTCCAACCCCTTAATAGTAGCTACACTCTGGGTCATGTGACCAGAAGGGAGGAGACAGGTGCTTAAGAATGAGGGGTGGAGGAAAACTAGGAGAGTTTCTTTTCTCCTCTATCTGCTGTGGCCTGATTCAATGTTATCTTCCTTTTATTGGCTTCTTCTGCATACCACATTTGGTCAGATTCATTTTTTAGAAGGCTGTTCCGCTGGCAAAGAAACTGTTAAGTTTGGAGAATAAGGAGACCAGACATCTGACCAGTGACTTCAACTCTTTAATAATAACAGGAATCAGAATGGAACAGAGCAATGCTATGGGCAGCAGTAGCCCTTTTATAGGGTTAGCTGCTGCCTTATTAACCAATGAAAATGCGCAACAGGTTCCAACTACTGACCAATAAGGACAGTCCCAAAAGTGACCAATCAGGGACTGGTTCTGGCCCAATCCCAAGTTGTTGTATAAGGACCAATCAAGTGTGCAGGTTTTCAACCCCTAATTTGCATTTAGGTTATTCACTTTTATTGATTCACAACAGAAACCTTTCCAACTTTCTGTTGGTTTGGAAGGAATTAAAAAGAGTGAAACATAAACATTGCAGAAAGAATGGGTGTGTACCTAATGTATATGGGACCTCTCTGCATAAGATTCAGTTTGCATTTGACCAAGAAATATTTTACTTCCAATATGTCTCTGCATTTGACCGAGTTATATCTCATGGAAGAGTTCCAAACAAAAGTAATAAGAACTGTACTATAATGATAGTTGCTTTGAACAACTATATTATGTTGCTACCTGTTGTGTTTTTAACCCTAACCTTTACAAGAAGCTCAGTACATGCATGTAACAAGAAAACTGGAATTGTATACTTTATTCCAACTTCCAACTTTCTGTGCATCCACCTTAATACTGTATATTCGCTTTCCTAGGATTTCTAGTCTGTCATGGACAAATAGAAAAAAGAAAAAGGTAGTTCCAGGATGGGTTTTTCATCCTATTTTCCACAGTGTCCAGCCAGATATTGAATGTCTATCACAGTGAGTACTTAGTTATGACGCCAGAAAATAAGCTTTTTCTAATATTAAAAAAGAAAATTCCATTCAGCTGGAAAATGAGCATGGAGGTATAAACCAAGGGTTAGCAAACTACACTCCATGGGAGAAACCCACCTGTTTTATGTGGCTCACAAGCTATGAACGGAGGGGCAGATAGTAGACAAAGGTGCTGGCCAAAGATCAGGGAAAGCATAACTTGAGTGGATGTGGCAACCTATCAGAGATTTCCTTACTAGTGTGCAGTACTCTCCAATGGCTGCCACATTCCTAGACTTGCCTGCTGCCAGCTCCCTTGGAGAGGGAGTAAGAGATCTTGCCCCTTAGAGAAAAAGTTTACCATCCCATGGTATAGAATGCATCATTCTGATCCAGTTTGGTTCAATCCAGTTTTGTTGAACTTCAGGAGTTCTGGTAGTTACTAGGTTTGGGAACCTATATTTATGATTCAGTGACTGGATGGATGGATATCTCAAAGTTGAGCAAACCAAGATCAGATGTTATATAAACTCTATATAAAAAGGGAATAGGGGAAAAAAAAGAAGCCATATGGCCTAGGTGTTATAGACATAGCCAAGAAACCTGCAATTTAGAAGGGCTAGCCATGAAAAGATATGGGCATACCTGCTAGTGATTCTGTTTAGCAAATGTTTCCACTTTTACCAAGAGGCTACTACATTATATTATGCAAGAAGGTCTCTCTCTAGGTCTAGGTAGCACCTGCAAGAAATGGTTGTATTTTTAGTTGGGATATTCAAGGCAATAAAGCTTTATTGATTTTATGGATTCATTCATTATCTCAGTTTATATAGCTGTCTATCTCAAATACATGACTCTAGGCAGCTCACAATAATTAAAATTATACAAAAACAATTACAACACATATACACACAGAATAGAAATATTATTTTAAAAAACCTCATATAGTACAACACTGAGATATATAGCTAAGGTATGCCAACAACAATTAACAAAGCCATTGACCAGGCTGTATACATATCCAGATCTCCAAACTCAGTATAGATATTATGCATTTTACACTGGAATTTGAAACATGCCTTATCCAATGTCCAAATAAGTGGAACAAATTAGTTATGTTATGTTGGTCATTTACAGTGTAATTGTAACCATGTACAGTATACATGAAAGTCCCTGTAATTTCAACTGTGCCATGTTCATAGGTATTTCTGTTCCCAATATCTATTGGATGGTGGCAGCATCTAGCTGACCTTGGCAGAGTCAAGTTAAGCAGGGTTGGATTGTCTAATACTTAGGACATTACTAGGAAACCCAAAGATTGTTTGTTAGACTGGAATACCCAGAAAACATCCCTGCAACACTTCCCTGTTGTTTCCAAGAGAACCACATCGAACTGTCACACATTCACCATAAGGTGAGATCAACTTGAGTCAATCTTTATCTTGAACTCCTCACCATTGAATAGTCTCTCCCTGAACCCACAGAACTTTCATAGTTGCAAGTTTTAAAGGAAAAGCAAATTAAAAGTAAAGCCTTTGCCTTATGGTCCATCTTCCACTTTAATTAAAAAGGATGCCCAAGAAGGTCACAGCAACACTTTACCTCTCTGCCATATTATTAATTACAACAATGTAAAATCACAGCTTCCAATACTTTAGCAGATTTTGTTTTTTTATACACATCAAGTTCTTCCCAAAAACCTAGGGTGTCAAAATGTATCAGCCTAATATATGCAGATCCAAGCAGTTGGCCTTTTGTA